AAATACAACTTAATGCTTATAGTGTTTTGTGCTTCACTGACTTTGCAGGCCTAAAGCCAGTAGTCTTATCATCTATTCAGAGGATAACAATACACAAGGTAGCATCTATAGGGATCTCCTTCAGAAGGTGGTGGCCATCGCTAATTTCCTATTAGCTTGTTGTGAAATGCTGTATAATTTTCACTGTTTTGCTTGGTTGGCTTTTATTCTGTTTAAAATCTTGTTTGATTTTGTTGTATCTGATGGCATGGGCAGCTGCTTCAAAGATAACAAGATATATTGTAGTAACCATTTTGGATCTACTATTACCTTGTTTTGAAGTCCTGTATTGTATTTATTGTTTGGTTTTTATTTATTCTATTCTGTTTCTGTTTTGTTTGATTATACTATGTCTGAAGATATGGGCAGCTATTTTGAAGACAACAAGGAACATTATGTTAAGCATAGTTGATTTCCTATTATTTTGTTTTGAAATCTTGTGTCACTTGCACTGTGTTATTTTGATTGGTTTTATTCTGTTTTATTTTGCTTGGTTTTATTCTCTCCAAAATAAGATTTTTTAAAGATTCGATAAAAACATGAGTAATTGAAATGAATAGACATTTCTCAGAAGAACTGCAAATGCCAATATATGGGGAAAAAAGTGTTCAACATATCTGGCTATTAAAGAAATGTAAATTAAAACAACACCAAGGTTTCATTTTACACCAGTAAGAAAGACTATCATTAAAACCTTAAATAACAAATGTTTTAATGGCTGTGGGGGAAAAAGAAACCCTTCTACACAGTTTGTGAACATGTAAACTAGAAATAACCCTCATGGAAGTTAGTATGGGGATTCCTCAAAAAACTAAAACCCAAAAATTCCATTCAGTCTTGGTGCCCTGCCAAGTACCTTCATGGACAAGTTAACAATATCCTATTACAGTGATACATGCATAGCCATGTTTATAGGAGCAAAATCCATAGTAGTTAAATTTTGAAAGTGGCCCGTATGTTCATCATAGGTGAGTAGACAGAGAAAATGTGACATTCATACACAATGGAGCACTACTCTGCCATCAAGGGTAAATGGGAGTCATTTGTAGGAAAATGTATGCACCTTGAGACCACAGTGTAGGTGAAACACATCAGACATACCACAAGCTTAAATATCACATATCAAAATATAAATAAAGAGCAAAATAAAAGAAAATATGAAAAAAAGATCTGTCAGAAGAGGAAAGGGGGCCAAGAAATAAAGGGGGAAGGAAAAAAGGGAAAGGGATGGGAAAAAAAGAAATAAAAGGTGTTATGTGCATGGACAAACTCCCCACGAGGAATACAGTCATCACATACTGCAAACATGTACTAATAAAAAGATAAAAACTAAAAAAGTTGCATCCTTTATGAAAAATACAATTCTCTTCTCAATTAAAATATCCCCAAAATAAAACTACAACTACCATATATTTCAGTAAATTCCACTTCTGAATATATGCCAAGAGAACTGAAAGCAGGATCTCAGATATTTGTGTACCCATGTTAATGATAGTGTTATTCACCGCAGCCCAAGGTGGAAGCATCCCAAGTATCCTCTGAAAGACACCTGAATAAACCAAATGTGGTTTGTCCATCCCCAGAACATTATTTGGTATTAAAAATAAAATTCTGAAATATGTTACAACCTTGAAGATGCCAAGTGAAGTAAGCGATCATGAACGATTAACTGTTGTATGGTTCTCCTTACAACGAGATTCTCAAAGAAGTCAAATTCATAAACACAGTAGGCAGAACAAATAGCGGCTGCCAGCTCAGGAGTGGGGATGAAGAATAGGGAGTTACTGCTAATGTACACAGTTTCAGTTTGGGGAGATGGAAACACTCTGAAGATGCAAAATGTTAACGGCTGAACAGTATGAATACAGTTACTGCCACTGAACTATGCCTTTCAAAAACTGTAATACATTAATATATGTATTTTACCAAAACAGAAAAGAAAATAGATGTAGCTCAGTGGGAGAACACTTGCCTAGCACGCACAAGATCCTGGGTTCAATCTCCAGCACTGCCATTCAATCAATCAATCAATCAATCAGTACATTCCGAAATGTCTTAATTCTCTTTCTCTTCAGATCCACTCCCCGAATCCTTTCTGGAGATTGTTAGCTGAGGGTGTGGCCTGCATTTTATGGAGGACATGTAGAGATGAATTTTTTACTGGCTTGAACAATAGAGTCAGTGCTTTACACAGCCATCTGCTCCTTTTTTTTTTATTTAAAGCTTAATAGTTAAAAAATACTCTTCTCCACTTTGGGGAAGACATAACTTACAGGACACCACTCCCCTATATGCAAACACAGATTTCTTTGACAACACACATCATTAATTTACAGCCTCTGACTTTTGGCTTTCGTGATGAAGCGCTTCCCTATCTTTCAAACACTAGTCTGTCTACAGTAACTCTTTACAAGTCTGAGTTCTTACAAAGACTTTTTAAAGGACTTTGATTTTGTACCTTTTATAGATATTTTTATAATGACAAGATAAATTTTAAATAATTAATTTGATTTATATGAGGCTGTCGAAGCAAGGAAGCACTTTTGCTTCAGAGAATCATAACCAGTTCTTCATTTTAACGAACTTATTTTAGGTCCAGTCATAAAAGGTAAAGCTGGATTCTAATTAGGTGTGGTAATGAAGCCAGAATTTCAACTTAAACGGCTTAAGATCCAAACCAGGGGATCAGTGGGACACACTTCTAGGTGTACTTGGTTGGGTCAAGGAAGCATGGCATTGGAGGTTCTATATCTGGTCACTGCCCAGCTTCCTTTCTGGCACTGTCCCCTTGCTCTGCTTCCCAGCCACCATCAACTAAGCAGTTTTGCTCCTCCATGCACATCCTCCACGACATCTCTGACTTGGAGGCTGCCAAGCCTGTAGTCATCTACTAAATGTAAGAGCTAAATTAAACCCTTCCTCCTTTAAATTGTAGGTATGGGGTGTTAAATCTCAGTGACAGGAAAGCTAACTAATAAAGCAAGCATTCTAGCATACAACTAACAGTGTTTCTCAGTGAATTTTTCGGAATGGACCTTAGTTCATTTTTTGGACATAGAAAGGAAGTGAGCAAAAAGAAATGGAGGGCTGGTGAGAAGGAGAAAGGGAAGGATATTAATTTACAAATTTTGAAGGAAAAAGGCATAAAAACTTTATGAACAGCTGCATTAACGCATTTCTGATGAACCTCCCAGGTGCTCTTTTCTGAGAGTCTGTTTCTATTGATATAATAATGGCATTCACAGCTGATCATGACTGCTGCAGGGCTTTTGTTAAAATTACAAGAATCTTAATCATTAATAGAAATACTCGTAAAAGTATTTTGAATTCTAGCAAAGAAATAAAACTCAGAACACTAGGACACTGGGTCAATAATGCTCTATTAAGCAAACATGGAAAAATTCAAAATATAACCAATTGTTTGAATATGTATGTTCTTATAATGTTGTTAATGCTCAATAGCCCTAAATACACTCTTTGAAACAACATATATTTGCAAATAGAGTTACATGGTTTCAGAGCCTCTCTGAAACTCTAAGAATTTATATTGCCTCTCCAAAGGAATTTAAGGATCACTGAAAATCATAATTATACATTAAAGGTGAAATTTTCTTTCTATATTAACAAAAAGACCAAGAAAGTTTTAAAAAGTCATCAAGAGCATCTTTTAAAACCACTCAGAGTTAAAACACCTACCACCCAACTAGTCTGACTACCTGGTATACTCACGAAATGTATTATGTACAGAAAAGGGAATTATTGATAGTTTTTTTGATCCACTGGTAGTCTGCAGTATGTATTCACACGAACAACAATAATCAAATAAAATCACCCCAAATGAGTTTTGTAAAGTGTGTATGACAAACAAGTTTATAAGAAATCATTCTGTTTTGCTTCTTTTGTTCTGCAAATAATCTCCCATATGTAAAGTCATCAGATTTTCCAAAACCATTTATGAAAAATTTGAGTGAAGGAAGTAAAATTCCAACATACTGAAATATTTTAGTTGCATTTTTTATGATCCAGGACTTCCTTCAATATATAATTTACGAACAAAATGTGCAGTTACTGTTTAAATAAAAATCTGTAAAAACTTATTACAATAGAAGACTCAATGCCATGAATCCCCTCAAAACACTCCGCCTGGCTCTGAGCACACTTATTGCATCATTATTGTCACTTTCCGAAGCCATTCTGGAAGACCTCTTTTGTGACTGTCTTTTTTATGGTTGCTTCAGTGTCCTGTATCAATTTGAATATTTACGACAATTTCTCTCAAATAAAAGCATTACGGTATGTCTGCATTTACTATATACACCAGATGTAGCACCATACAACTTCTGGCTCTTCTCCAAAGTAAAAGTAACCATAAAAAGTAAATATTTTGAATTGCTTGAGATGAAGCAGCTATGACAGTACAACAAAAGATACGAAAGAGGAATTCTAGAACTGCTTCAGAAACAATATGGGATATGTGTGTGTTCAAGGTAGGAGGATATTCTGATAAAGATTAATGGCAATGTGACTTTCACTGCAATAATTTTTTTAAAAATTAAACACTGACTGTATTTTTCCCTATTGCTCAGATTCATATGTCAGAGAAAATAAATCCAGAACAGAAATGTTTTAAATTTTATTTATGTATTTATTGTCTTTTTTGATACAGCGTTTCACAGTGCAGTTCAGGCTGGCCTTGAACTCATTTTACAGCACAGGCTGGCCTCAAGCTTGCAGCAATTCTCCTGTCTCACCTCCAGAGTGCTGGGATTACAGGTGGGCACTACCACGCTCAGCAAGGAATCCTATTTTGGGAACTTATTTTATATAAGGTTAACTAAATTCAAGTTACCTTAGGAGTTGTTTCTTTCCAAAGGAAATCTTCAGTAAAGCAGCTGAGAATGAAGCAAAACAATCTGAAAACCTAAGCATGTTTACCTTAAAAATTCTCATTTTAATCTTACCCTTGAGAAGATATTTTCCAGGGAGCTAGTTAAGGATCTCTTTGCTTTATTTTTCAGAATGTCAAGTTTGAACCTTCCACTGCTTGTAGCATTTTCTGGGACTGTATTATTTGAAACAGTCTAGAGAAAAAAAAAATAGAATAATTTTGGTTTTTACAAATTGAAGGTTAAATGAGGTTTAAGGTTAAAAAAAAATAAGAATCCTTCAGTAGTTCTATTAAGAAGTAAAAATTTAGGTTCCACTCTGTAAACAGAAAGATTATAATGTTTAATGCTTAATATTGTAAGTAATAAAAAGAGAGAAATAAGATTCTTTTCCTTCCACTAAAATATTCCTGCTTTATTTAACAAAAGTTAAACTAAAGATGCCAGTTCTTTCTCTTTTTGATTATTAACCACCACTATCACTTTCCAAGGTATATGTTTTATATCTAAATTACAAAAAAGTAAAAAAGAAAAGTTTCAAGGTGCAAAGCATTTTGCACAAAACAGGTGGACTCTAGCAATGCCTTTGTCATAATTTCAGTTTTGTTTTGTTTTGTTTTGTTGAGACAGTCTCACTACATAGTTCAGGCTAGTCTTAAACAAATGGCAATCCTCCTGCCTCAGCCTCCTGAGTGCTGAGATTACAGACGTGCACCACCATGCCCAGCTCATAATTCTATTTTCATTTGTGAGGTGAATTATTGTCTAGATTAATAAGTATTCACTGACAGTACTAAGCCATCGTGGAGTCTGTGATGTATCCATTATATTAGGTTTTCTTTGTCTCACTGAAGCAAGCAGGTTTCAAGAGAGAAACCTTATAATTTGCTAGGGGAGAGAGTGACAACATATATATATATATATCAAAAAGGTAAACATGAAGATTGGACATGGATCCCAGTGGTAGGAGGAAAGGATGCAGACAGGCAGGAGAAAAGAGACAAAGGTTTTCCCAGAACTAGAGCTGGTTGTTGCCACAATAAGTGGCTAAAATCAATGAGTGCAGTGCAAGACAACAGGAGGACTGCGGCTGGAAGGAAAATCCTGAATGGTGTTACGTGTCAGGTGAACAGCAAGAATTCTCATCTGCATTTATGAGAGAAGCATCCCTGTCAAAATCATGCTTTAGGGAAATTTATCTCATATGAGCTCTCAAAAACACCTAACCATGAGAGAAATCAGAGTTGGAAAGATCAAATCAGACGAGTGGATTTGGCATAGTCCCAACAAAGGCCCACACCAGTGCCAGCTCTGTCAGATAATTCAAGAATTACAGAAGCAAGACACACAGTGATACAAAGACCAACAGAAATTAGTGTTTCAAAGGTTTAACTTATTATCGGTGCTGTTTAACTCTGTGTGCTGGGAATAAACTCTAGACCATGAACACAGAAATGCTAATGCTTCGTTTGCAGGGAGGACGCCTGTACCACCACTGCTTCCTCCTCCCTTTCACCACCTGGGCTGTCCAAGCTTTTGATTTCATAAGAATTTGAAAGAATCGAGTAACCGACTAGTGTGACTAAAAATGCACGCTCATTCTACATCCTGCACACACGATTCCTTGTTTGAAACAAAACCACAAATTCATTCATATTTTAAAACTCTATTTTATCAATAAGCCAGTGCCTGCCACAATTCCCCGTAAGCTCCTAAAATGCCGGGCTGGGGGCAGAAGGGGTCTTACAGGACACTGTCCTGAAGGAAAAAAATGCCTTTCACATTTTCCATGATATTTTAGTGAGATACTAAAAACAAACAGAAAGGATCAGGGAGAACATGTCTCACCAATGGGCCTTCCCCGATGTGCACATGCGTCTTCTGCTTGGCTTCACACAGCTGCCTCAGATGTAAAATCACAAGTTCATTTTCTTCCTGGTCACTGATTGGCTTCATTTTCTGTTGAACAGACAAACCCAAGAGCACACTGTGGCAACACAGCTCCTCTTGCTTTATTCTCATTTAGTTTTATCCGTCTGGCGGGTAAACATAAATGGAATAATGGCTTTCTAGTTCAACCATATAGCCCCAGAGGATATGCGTCTGTAACTTCAGACAGAGGAATGAAAAAAAGGAATTCACAGCAATAGGCTCCAACTCTCATTCCCTATATTGTATGTATGAGAACTACAAATAATGGTACCTGAACTCGTTCAAAGATGTCAGCTTGCTCATTATCTGTCAGTGACGAGAGGTGCCTCTGTATTACCAGCTTGGCTCTCGGTGGGTAGAGACCTAAGAACAGGATGGAGGAAAGCATGAAGCAGAGGCTGACTGCTCATCACGGTACTTCACCCCTTGCAGCAGGGTCCTGAACACTAATACTTTCAAAAAGAGGCGTCCTTGCCTATAATGAGCCCCAGAGCACAACAGAGAGAAGATGAAAACTTCACCAAATCAACAGCCCCCTAAAGCTCACAAGGAGTTAAAACTACTAACAGAGAATTTCTAAATGATATCAAGCACAAGCAAGATCTGACTTGACACACCAACAAGCATTGCCACCATAGAACCTGATGCTTAAATAATAATAATAATTAAAAAAAACATTAGAGGGCAGGATTATAGGTTAGAAAATGACCTTTACCCTTCATGTAGCTCTTGTATTTTGGGAATAAAAGTATGGCATCAGTATTAAATATACTTTTAGTGTTATAGTGCTACCAAGATGTTTGCTTCATTATAGGAGGTAATTTGTAATTTTTTCGCATTTTTAAGCTCAATTTGTTCCAAGTTCTTGGGACCATGTTTTCCATGAAAACATTTCTGATTTTTACTTTTTTAAAAGAGAAAGATTAATTTATAGTTATAAGTGACTATTTGCTTTTAGGAATAGATTTTCAATGCATAGTTAAGTACATTTTACAGTATTACTATCATATTTTAATTGTAAAAAAAGAATATCTAGCTATCATATTTAATAAATCTCATCAGTGAGGGCTGGGGATGTACTCTGCATGTGCAAGGGACTAGGTTTGATTCTGAGTACCACAAAAACAAAATGAAACAAAAACCCCTTATAGATAAACTGGCATTTTCAAGTCACTTGTTAGTACAAGTCTATCTTTCACAACTGCAGTGAAATACTTATATTATATGGTTTTAAGCTATAACTTGAATATATTCCATGCATTCATTTGTTCTATTTACAAAGTGTAAGGCAAAGTAACTAAAAATGTTTCATGAATTACTTTGCTAAATTGTATCATATAACTTACAAATAATATAGTACATAAGTATTACATTCAGTTTGCTATTTATTTCAAGAATATTACATGGAAAAAGTTAATTGAAATAAAATGATGTGTTCATATTTAGCTACTTTTTAAGGTAAAGAATTATTCAGAGCTCCACAGACAGCATGGAAAAGAATCACTTTAACCATTGTTTTATTTTTTTTATTTTAAAAAGAAAAAAAAAATAAAAATTAGACTTTCAAACAGACTAATAGAAGACTAACAATAATTAATACCTTGTATAATATCTTCACAGTAATTACTCAGAATACAAGATATAGTTATGAAAGATTGTCCAAACATTAGCACAAACTTTTCTTTACAATGAGCTAAGAGAAACTAGCTGTTTAATGATCTTAACCATCTTGTGTATGTATATACTGTTTTTCCTTTTCCCTTTCTCTCATCCCAGTTTTTTTCTTTTGAACAGTTTCTTCCCAATTCACAATATTTATGGTACATTTTGGATCTAGTAATACAATACAATGTTTTCACATGTAGTTCTGATTTATTTATTCACTTATGAGTATGGTCTCGAGTTGCATCTATTTAACTACAAAAGTCCCAAGTTTATCCTTCTTTATGACTGAGTACTTCCACATTATATAAAAAAATCGGACCCCCCAAATTCAAAAGCCCAACCCAAAAATGAGCACCTGAAGTGAATATACACTTCTCAGTTTAAGAAATACAAACAGCAAATAAATACACAAAAAAATGTTCAACATCATTGGTCATCCGAGAGATGCAAATTAAAACAACACTGAGATAACATGTCAATCCAAAAAGAATAGCCATCATCAAGAAATCAACCAATAACAAATGTCAGCAGGGCTGTGGGGAAAAAGGAACCTTCCTTCACTGTTGGTAGGAGTGTAGACTGGTACAACCCCTGTAGAAGTCAAAGTGGAGATTTCTCAAAAAATTAGGATTAGAGGTCCCATTTGACCCAGCTATTTCCCTTCTAGATATCTTCTTAGAATTAAAAACAGTATACCACAGCAATATATGTACACTCATGTTTACAGCAGCACAATTTTTAATAGCTAAGTTTTGAAACAACCCAAATGCCCATCAGTGAAGAATGGGTAAAAAAAAGATGTGGCTATCTTATACAGTGGAAGATTCATTGTTTTAAAAGGAGCAGAGGTAGCCTATTGTAACAGCAATATTGCCACCCCTGTTCCAGGTAACTGTACTGTATGGAATTTAGACTCAAGAATGGTGTATGAAAACCTCTCAATCTTACCTTTGTGCAACACACTGCAAAACTGTAAAAATCTCTGCACTCACATATAGAAAACTGAAATGGATTTTGATGGTAGTCTAACACACATAATCCTAGTATTTTCTGAGGAAAGTCTCCTTAAAATGTTCTCAAGACAACATAGCCTGATATTAATTCACATCACCAGATGATAAGGAGAAACTGATGAAAAGTTTGAACGCAGGCTGTGGGAGATCAAGACAATGCAACAACTGCATACAATATAGGATAGAACCCTGATTGGATCCTGAAACCAAAACACCACCAGTGAAAAGGCTGTCAAAGATCAAATGAAGTGTTTCTTTTATATAATAACATTATATCAGTTAATTTCCTGCTCTCATATTTGTGCTCTTCTATATATAACATGTTATAACAAGGGAGGAATATTTAAAAAGAAACACTTGGCAGCTATTCTTTAACTCTACAAGAAGATCAAAGTTTTTTAAATACACTATTCCATATAGTCTTTCAATCATATTTAGTACTTGCTATTTAGCAAATTATTTTTCACTCAACAATCCAATTTTAAGATATATCCACTTTGGTATATATTTCTAACTCATTCCCATCAGTTGGTTCTCTATATAATTAAACTCCAACTATAGTATTGATGAACTTTCAGGTTTTCTCCAATATTCCACTACTTACAAATAATACAACTATGAAAATGTCACCCTTGGAAATTGTTTGGACTGAGTCCCATCCCCACATGCATTCCAGCAGCCATCACCAAGGTTCCCCACCTGTAACCAGCTCAGCCCGGAGGCAACAGCCAGCCCCACCCCCTGAACCCACTCTAGCAGCCATCATCGAAGATCCCCACTGGTAACCAGCTAGAAGGCAAAAGTCAGCCCCGCTCTCACGCACATTCCACCAGCCAACACTGAGCCAAAGCAGGCTGGGAAAAGCACCAGTGCACTCAATGGCCACCATCAGATACCCAGAGCCAGCACTGGTTAGAAGAACCCAAACCATCTTGCTTCAGAGAAATTGTAGCCAATGCAGGAAGTGCCTGGAATCTCACTACCCACTTGTCCAGAAGAACCCAGGAATATGTCAAGATGAAGCAAAAGGCAATCTCTGGCCTCCAACCCAAACAGAGCAAGTCCATGAGATGTAAACATGGAAGAGATCTGGAGCTGCACACCTGAAGTTTCTGAAGGCAAAGCAAGTGAAGTAAAGAAACAACCTTATGAGGCCATGAAAGAAATTAGAACAGAAATATTATCTTAGGTAAAAGAAGAAATGAAAAACATAATAAAAGAATTGCCAAGTACCTCTAAGGAAGACATAGATGGAAGAATAGAGGAGCATAGGAATATGAGGGAAACCTTGAATGAACAATATAAAAAAGATTTAGAATTCATGAAAGAGATCAAAGAGATATCCAGAAAATTAAAAACTTCATTGAAAGCTGGAAAAACCACTTGAAAGAAACTAAAAATAGACTTTCAAATCCTGAAGACAGTTTTCAGCTTGAGATGGAGAAAGGAAAAAACTCTTAAAAATAACAAGGAACCAGGAAGTAACAATTTAACAGCTGTAAGACAACCAAAAGAAGCATAACTTAAGAATAATAGGTGTGAGTGAAAAAACAGGGGTCAACCCAAATGACATTAAAAGTCTATTTACAGAAATAATATCAGAGAACTTTCCAAGCATAGGAAAAGGAAGTGACATTCAGGTAAGTTAGGCATACAGACTTCAACTAGCCATAACCAAAATAAATCTACACCCAGACATATAATAACTTCCCAGAAATTCAACACAAGAACAGTTAAAACTGTTAGAGAAAAGAAAACCCATCAGAATCACGACAAACTTCTCAACACAAACCATCAGGTCAAGAAGAGCTTATTTCAAGTCCTGGAAGAAAACAACTTCTAACCCAGATTGATATACCCTGAAAAACTATCTTTCAAAATTGATAGAGAAATAAGATACTCCATGACAAAGAACAACTGAAGGAATTCTTGACCACCAAAACAACCCTACAAAAAATACTGAAGGACATTCTAGAGAGAAATTAAAAAAACAGACTATGGTTCCAAGAACAGCAGCAGAGGGGGATCACCAAGTGGAGCAGACATGCAATGAGGGGAAATTAGGCAACCAGCAGCAGGACAATAGCTTGGCAGAGGTGAGGCAGAACACAGTGGCCATAATCACTAATGTAGATGGCCTCAATTCACCAACAAAAAGAAACAGGCAGAGTGGATCAAGAGACAGGATCTATCAATATGCTTTACTCAAGAAACATATTTAACCAAAAGGGGGTTCACAGATTAAAGTCAAAGGAGAGAGAACAATGCTCTGTGTGACTAGGAATCAGAAAGAAATGGGGGTAACTTGCCCATCAGCTACAGGCTCAATAAGAAAGTCATGGCACTTTTAAACAATGGAAGGTTACAGCTATAAAGAAAGATAACCTTGAGGCTCTTGTAGGTAAATGGATACAACCTGAGATCATGCTCATGGAGAAATGAAATGGTTCACAGTCACATGGGTCAATATCGTGTTGTGTCCATAGCATAAAAATCTAAAGGAGGGGCTGGGGATTTAGCTCAGCGGCATAAGCGCCTGCCTTGCAAGCAGGCAGTTGTGAGTTCAATCCCTGGTACCGATAAAAAAGAAAAAGACCAAAAAAAAAAAAAAATCTAAAGGAGTTAGTGGGATCCAAACTGCATAATACAGTAAAAGACCTATATTGTGAAAAATTATACTGCTCTAAAAAAGAAGATTGAAAAAGATATTAGAAAATGGAAAGATTATCTCTTGCTCTTGGTTAGGAAGAACTAACACTGTGAAAATGGTCTTATTCCCAAAACTTATACAGATTTAATGCAACCTTATTCAAAATACCATTGACATACCTTACAGATCCACAAAAGACATTCCTAAAATTCATTTAGAAACAGAAGAAACGTAGAGTAGTAGCAAAGGCAATTCTGGGCCACAAAGGCACTGCAGGAGGCATCTCAATTCCTGACTTGAAATTATACTACAAAGCTACAGTAATAAAATTAGCATGGTACTGGCAAGCAAACAGAGGATCAATGGAACAGATTAGAAGATGCAAACACAACTACAAAGACACTCAGCCACCTTATCATTGACAAAGAGGCAAAACATGTTCACTGGAAAAAGGATAGTCTCTTTAATAAATGGTGTTGGAAAACTGGCTTTCCACATGCCAAAGACTGAAACTAGACTCATGTCTATCACCATGCACTAAAGTCAAAATGGGTCAAAGATCTAAATATTAAAGCAGAAACACTAAATCTACTGGAAGATAAGGTAGGTAGACAAAGGGTTGGGTAAAAAGTGCATGAACAAAACGCAAACCGCATGGGAAAGTACTTCAAAGAATCAACAACGGGCGTCTCATCTTATTAAAAAGTTTTTGCACTTCAAGAGGAATCACCAACAAAGTGAAAACCCACAGAATGGCAAAGAATTTTAACCAGCAGTCCCTCAGACAAAGTACTTATATCCAGAATATACAAAGAATTGAAAAACATCAAGCCCCCCAAATTCAAAACCCTCCAAAAATGGGCATCTGAGGTGAATATGCATTTCTCAGATGAAGATATACAAATGGCAAATAAACACATGAATAAATGTTCACCATCACTGGTCAATCAAGAAATGCAAATTAAAACAGCATTGAGGTTGCATCGCACTTCAGAAAGAATGGCTGCCATCAAGAAATCAACCGATAACCAATGTTGAGGCTGTGGGGAAAAAGGAACACTTCTCCACTGTTGGTGGAAGTATAGACCGGTGCAGCCACTGTGGAAATCAGTATGCAAATTCCTCAAAAAACTAGGATTGGAAGTCCCATTGAATCCAGCTATTCCCCTTCTGGGTATTTTCCCAGAAGAATTGAAAAGGTCCTGTCTCAGCGATATATGTGCACCCATGTTTATAGCAGCACAATCTGTAACAGCTAAATCTTGGAAACAACCAAAATGCCCATCAACCACGGAATGGATGAAAAAATGTGGTATTTTTATACAATGGAAGATTACTCAGCTATAAAAAGGATGATCCGGAAGCTTTTATAAGTAAATGGAAGCAAATACTCATAAATGAAATAAATCAGACTCACATTGGTAAATATCGTATTGTCTCTCTAGTGTAAAAAATAAATAATAATAAAAACTGAAACAGTAACAAAATCCAAAATGTATAATAGATAGTTTAATAATGAAAAGGAAAGAAAGTGCTCAAAAGGGAACAACAACTTATGGGTATACACATATAACTGTAGGTATAAGTGTGCAAGATAGATAACCATACTATTAAGTTTTTGATAGTTCATCAAACAAAATAGTTTGTGCTCTCATTGTCTGATTGTCTGTTCATTTTTTATGCTTTGATTTTGTAACTTGAATAACTACTTCTAAGATAACAATATGTAATGTATCAACTAGTGATGATTTCTTAATGTTATTTTTTTAAATTCTGTATCATTTCTACCCTTTTTTCTGTTTTGCTTTTTTTTTTTCATTTAAAAAATGCACAATACATATTGTGAAAGTGAAAGGGGAAGCAGTGTCTAAAACGGGAAGGCGGTGGCCATTGTTGATCTACTATAATGATTTGAAACCCATATTGTTTTCATTGTTCTGTTTGGTTTTATTCTGTTTTGGTTTGTCTAATTTTATTACATTTGATGACATGGACAGCTGTTTCAAAGATAATAAAATATATTATGGAGGCAAATATTGATTTCCTGTTAGCTTGTTTTGAAGGCCTGTGTTGCTTTCATTGTTTTGTTTTGACTGATTTTGTTCTATTTTGTTTTGTTTGATTGTATCATGTCTGATGGTATAGGTAACTACTTTGAAGATATCAAGATGCATTTTGGTACCCATAGTGGTTTTACTATTATCTTGTTTTGAAGTCCTATATTTCTTCCATTGTTTTTATTTGCTTTATTCTATACTACTTTGTTTGATTTTACTATGCCTGATGGTATGGGCAATTTTTTGAAGATAACAGGAGGCATTGTGGCAGCTATTGTTGACTTCCTTGTGTTTTGTTTTGAGCATGTACCATGTTCATTGTTTTGTTTTGATTGACTTTATTCTATTTCATTTGGTTTTATTCACTTCAAAATAAAAAAAAAAGAAAGAAATGTCACCTTTTACAAACATGTAAGTTTTTGTATCAAGACACAAAACTTTTAGTTATATAGCATGTGCAATTTTAGGTTAATTAATTCTTATTAATTCTCCCTCAGAAATGGCTAATTCATAAGTATTATATAAATATATCAATAGCCCTAAAATTTGTTTAAGAGTTGATCTCATTAATACCTTACTGTTCCAAATGAGAGCAAGTAAGATTCAGTAACTTCTCAATTTCACTATTGGACTATTTAATCTTCTTTTCTGAGAAACGTTTTTAATTATCCACTAAATATATCTTTTTTTTATGAATTAAAGTTTTTATAAATTCTGAACATTTATCTGCTATCTCCTTATTTGTTGCTTACAATTTTACTTCCCAATAAACAGTTATTGTTATGTAAATATGTTAAATTTTTCACTAAGTAAAATCTGCTAGTCTTATTTTAATAGTTTCTACATTTTTGCAGCTTACTAAAACTTTCCTTCTTTAACAAATAAGACTAATCCTTTTTTCTTTAATGATTTAAATACTTGGTTTGTATACACTGAGATTTCTGATCTACCTAAGATGCCTTATAAGTTGGGTAAGTGGAAAGGACTTCTCTCTGGATGCCTAACTGACTCAAACCACTTCCTCAACAAATCAGCACCCAACGTTGACAGAAATTTACCATGCTCCTTGGTCATACACAAAAGAATATTCTACTTTTGTGGTTTTCCATTTTATGTCTTTCAAAATAACTTGCATTCTATAAAATGATGGTTATGAACTTTTAAATCAGAATATTAAATTGAAGTAGGTTTGGAGCACACAGTGGTGTGGATAATGCTGCTGTTCATTGTTGTTACCACATGCCTCTGGTTCCGCTGCCTAGACAACAGAAATAGTCTCCTGCACTTGCAGTAAGTAGAGACACCTCCCTCTTGTGTGCTGGAGTCTGCACTCTTTCCACCTATTATGCTGAATTAAATTCCTTTGCTTCCTGCACCTATCTTTCAGGCTGGACTATCTAGAAGCTATCTAGAAGCGCAGTCCATATCTCAAATTCTGTATCCCAGGAACCAGTGAATTGCCTGGTCCATAGCAGACACTTAACTTACTTTTATTAAATTCGGTCTCTCCTTTTGTGCAGTAGTTTTTAACATTTTTTGTTAGGAGAGATAATGAAAGGAAAGGAAAAATAGGGTCACCTCTCCATGTGCCCTTCCTCCTCCTCAAAACACATTTTTTTAAAACCTGCTTCATGATATCACATCCACAATCTGTCATTCACAAATGCCCCTCAAAAGCCAAGCAAATTTCACTACAGTTCTACCCTTTCACAGAAAAAGAGTAAGCACACATCACCAAGAAGAAAAAAAGAAAAAGAAAAAAGAATTAAACAGTCTGTAATGGCTTTGCCTCCCTTCATTTGTCCAACAAATATTTGCTCAGTTCCCACTGTGCACACAGCAGGGAGGTAAGAACTGTGGGAAATACAAGTCCCTTCCTGGAGGGCATTCATATGGGAAAAAAGGAAAGAGAAACAGAGGGAAAGTCAAGCACCTAGGAGAGACTGACAGCCCACTCAAGTCTCACTGGACATGAAAAATGATTCTCTTGGTTCCTATTTCCTACAGAAATAAAGAACTATTCAGTGACAGGAGGGACTCTCTCATTTCCCAAGTGCCAAAGCAAACTCCTCTCTGGCAAGGCCAAGTTACACTGTACCTTCAATCCTTTCACAGAGCTTGTGCAGAGAGTGCATAGGGCAGGCCTCACACAGCTTGATCTGGGTCTTGGCACTCTGCAGGGCTGCAGCCGTGCTGAAAGCCTGCTTCAGAGTCAGCATGACCTCATCGACCTACAAGAAGGAATGAAACTCATCTAAACAAGCTGGCTTTCATGGAAACACTAAAAACCCAACAGCAATGTGAGCTTTTGTGGATGCTGACTAAATAATAATAGAATTATGGTGGCTACAAAGCTGACAGAGAGAAAATGTTAAGTCATGAAGTTAGACCTCTCATCCAGATCACTGAAAGCTGGATAAAATAAGACCATTTCAATGTGTGTAAGCGATACTCATCTGTTACCAGAATACTATTTTCAAATCCCATGGAGCGCTACACTATCTCAGACAGTTTAATTAGTAGATCAGGTTTTTGTTTAATTAAATGGTTTATCAGATAAACCTCTTTGGAAGCTCAGTGTGCCATACACAGCATAAAGAACACATTCACTTGTGTTAGTAAGTACTCTTCTTACTTTAATCTTCTGAGTCATTTTTAGCGTAAAACCTATCAAGGCATGTGTCCAGGTGAAATTTGAGAGGTAAGGACTTCAATTTAAATGCTGGAAAATGAATAAGAACACTGCTGGTCTCATTGCTACATTTTCAGATTAATTGTGATTCCAATTCCGATCTACACGTACTAGAAAATGACATCACAGTGTCTGACAGCTGGGTGTCACCACCAGGCCAGCAGCTTGAAGGCTGCCAGCTGATTTCGTATTTGCACTTCCACTGACCCAGTCAAGAAACCTGAATTCAACTTGTTAATTTTGCAGTTGATCCTTTGAAACCAACTAACTGCTCATTCTCAGTCACTGTGAAACCACATCCGGCTGCATGTTCTTTTGAGTGCCATAGTCACCAATGAGAAGATGTGATCTTCCCCACATGCTGTGGAATGCAGATCGAACTCTAAAACCTATACGGCAGAGCTATTAAATCCATGCCTGGAATATCATCATTTTGTTTTCTTTTTACTCTATACCCTCATTTAAGAATAAGTTATTGTTTAAAGAACTTAATCTAGTTCTCCATTTGAGTGTATGAACAAACTAGGATAAAAAAAAAAAACTCTCCGCATTTAACATTACTGAAAGCAAAGACCAAATGCTAAGCAATTAACCATTATTGTTATGTTTTATTATATTATGAGCCTTTAAAAAAGCTTAAGAATAATTTCAAAGCATTGCATAAATAAAAATAAATTCCATTTTATACTATAATTAAAAATAAAAACTTCTAATTCTTAGAACTAAATGCAGTGCATGCTCAATGTCTTTACATTTTTATTTTGTTTGCCTTGTTGAATACTCAAAGGCGATTTAATCATTTATGCAAATATTCAGTTGTATTTTCTTGTTTCCCATTTATTTAAGACACTTAACAGTTAGTAGTTGGCTTAGTGATATAAATAGCTTTCATAGGGATTACTAGATATTTAATAATCCTGCATTGTAAAAGACTTTATGGAAATACTGAATATTTGTGCTATCATCTCTATTTCTAGATGAAACAAGAGGCTATTTCAATGTTATCTGAATTATAGTGACTAACATCACCTGGCCAAAAATGTTACTAAAACTTTACTTGACTAATAAAATGTTAGTCTTATTTTCTAAAATCCATCATATTTTCCAGATGACGTATAAAGTCTAATTTGAGGTCAGTATGACTAAAAGTTCAAATTAGTTCACTGTGACTACAAGAAAAAAAATCATGGGTCAGGTCAAAAGGTTAAAAACAAAGTTACAACAAAGGTAAATCAAACAAATGCAAACAAAAACAAAGTATTCTTGGCATCACCATCCAACAAAATTACATTCCCAGTGAAAATCATGAGGCTGGACAAAGAAAGTTTATTTATAGTCCTAAGGGACAGATATATAATAAATGTAATGGTAAAAATATTACACACCCAACAGTATCTATCATACAGCATTTCACAATAAATCTAAGAAGCATACAATGTGAGAAGACTTCAAAAGATCTAATTCTCTGGAAAAGCTTAAAACTTCAATCCCATTTTAACAATTGTTAATAATTGTTTTGAGTCTATTTCAGCTCTGTATCTGTTGGATGTTAAGCCCATTTACGATATGCACACAGTAGGTACTCACACGCCTGTTTCATATGACAAAGTCACACCCATATTTCTTGCTCTTGGGTTAAGTGATGCCAATTATCTGTGACTTTCTTCAAGACGAGATACTCCTCGTAGATTACTATTTTTCCCTCAAGTATCTGCAACTTGTCATGTATAACACACATCTCCAACCTGAACTTACCTCTTTATCTGCTATCCTTCCTAGTTTGCTTGCTCCTTAATTATTAAGCAATTTACTTTTACAAGTATAATCCACGCCAGATATAAAAGAAACTTTTTTGACTAACAAAATGTGCCTCATTTTCCATAAATACACTAATATTTTATTTTTAATTAAACATCATACTTATTTTATTAACTACTAACCTGAGTCTTGGATAGCAGTGATCTTTTCTTTCCCCCTTTTTGTTATTTTTTTCTTGCCCATTTTTCTCTGTACTTACAGCATTTAGATTTTCTTTGTATATCAGTAGCAGTGGTTTACATTTTTTCATACTCTTTAAATCAATTTTTTTTTTTGGTACCAAGGATTGAACTCAAGACCTCATGCTTTCCAGGGAAGCACTTATGCCACTGAGCTAAACCCCTGGCAAAGAAAGTACTTTTAAAGAAAGAATATTCTCTACAAATTTCAACAGTTGGTTTTATAAGATTAATTTAAAAAAGAGCTGAGCCTTTCTATAGCTCTTGGAAGAAAGGAAGGAAGGAAGGAAGGAAGGAAGGAAGGAAGGGAAAGAAGAGACGAGGGGAAGGGAGGGGAAGAGAGGGGAGAGGCGAAAGGTAGAAATGGAGGGTGAGAGGAGAGCATCAAGCATTTGAACTTCCTGTATATCTTTCCAGGGCCCCTCAGAACACTAATTCACAACTGTTACAATGAAGCAAAAGAAACATTAATTGTGTGTTCTTGTTACTCAGAAAAGGTGTCAGCATGTGTGGTTTTGTAATATTTTTGTTTTATTACCACTGCCAAACCACATCAATCAAAACATTGCTTAGATTCATACAACTTATAACAGACTGTTTTGTTTTGTTCCATTTGTCAGTTGTTAGAACCGTCCCCAATTATACAGGAAATACACACCTAATGTTCCTTCTAGCTTGCAATTCTGATTCCTCACTATTCAGTTAGATGCTTACTGATAAAATAAAAGAGAGTCTGAGTAAGCCTTCTTAAGAACAAGGCCAAAGCTCAGGCTCCAGACTGCTTCAAGTAACAGGAACTGGAGGGCATGCACAGCCAGCAGGGCAAGCGCCTCAGTCGAGACAGCAAGGAAAGGCAACAGGTTCCAGACCTTCTCCTGTGACAAAATTCACTCTACAAGCATGGGGACCAAATGCAAAAACTGAACACTAAAAATAAAACAGAACTCATAAAGGAGAATGAAAACATGAAGGTGTTACACAGTTTTTCTTTTAATGAAAGGGATGCAGTGAACAGAGATTGGCCAGTGCCTGGAAGCCAACAGCCTGGAGTTAAGAGCAAAGCACCTGCTCTGTACCTCAGAATAGGAAAACATAAAGCACAGCTCAGAAATACTGTGTGAATAAGTCAGAGGAGTGGCCCATTAAGTAAACAGGTGAAAAGGAGGGCGGATTTGTGGGAACTGAGAGAGACCTGTGAGCAAGGTATAGGGACAGTCCTGCTGGCAGGACTGTGACAGGAGGATGAGACAATTCAGCTGGTCCTGAATAACGACAGGAGAAGCGAAGAGGAAGAGTATCTGGGCTACGATAGAGCAAGGCCATGCCTGCTTTACCACTGATGAAGCAGGAGGAAAGAGAAGGTAAACAGAAGTCACTCCTCTTTGCTCAGTAACAGGCGCCCCTGGAGACTGACCCGGCCCCATGGCCAGCCTTACAGAATCAGGCAGAGAATTGTGGTTCTGGCCTCCTGGGACATGCAGACTCCTCACTCCACACAGCAACCCACCAGGGGCTTCAGAGACATTCAGCTACTCACTGAAGCCCTGGACCCCAGGCTCAGGGCGCAGCTCAATGCTACAGTGCTTGTTGACCATGCATGGGGCCCTGGGTTCGACCCCCAGCACTGAAAAACAAACAAAAAATCCTTGATTGTGCATGTGGCTCATGCACTACTCTCAAACTTGCTGATTTCAGGAACAAACCAAAATAAAAGCTCCACCACAGCAATCACCAGGGAAGAGTTTGTGGTTTAGCTCAGGGAAGAGTTGTGAGAAGGAACAACATGTGTGGGGACACAGACTTAAACAGGCCTGGCATGTGTTCTGCACTGGGTGAGTGACAGCACAAGAAGTCAGAGAAGAATGAAGGTCTGCGTGTTTGATGACATAGATGTTGTCCTTTAAGGAGGCAGGAGTTGTGAGATACAAAATTCCAGCATAACGCAGTCAAGTAGATGGCAGATTAAACCAGTGGCAGGGAGAGTAGTCAAGACACCAACGAGCGAATTCCAGAACCAGGTATGGAAGAGGAAAAGATGCTAAGATGGGTAAAAGAGACATTTCTCTCTTTAAATCAATAGAATTGATACACTACTGGATAAAGACTGTGTTTTTAAATTGAGTAAATGGTGCTCAAGGTTTTTAAATTGAGTAAATGGTGCTGACAAAATTTAAAAATATGGGATCAATGATAGGCTTTGGAAAGACAGGGCAGTGTGGGATCCAGAACATGGCAGAAGGACCAGACTTCTAGAAGGGTCAAAGCAACAAAGGACTCATGTGTGAAAGCAGGCATGGATGGGGAGTGGGGCATGGGTGACAGAGCATCCTAGTCTATTATTTACCAAAGTCTTAGTCAGCTGGCATTTTCCAGTGTTGTGTCACTGATTTTTTCTTTCTTTCTTTCTTTCCTTCTTTCTTTCTTTCTTTCTTTTCTTTTCTTTTCTTTTCTTTTGTTTTCTTTTCTTTCTCTTTCCTCCCTCTGGGTGTTCATCCACTCCCATTCCTTCCACTATTATCATTACCTAGTGATCACTCTCAAATCACTTTCTCAAGTGCTAAGCTGAACCTATTTAGCAGGACCCCTACAGATAGATATCTCACAGGTATGGTTAGTTATGTAGAGGGAAAATGGAACTCTCTAGAGTAAGAAGCTGGGGATATGAGTATTATATTCCCTAGAGAAAGAAGCAGAGTTCTGGGCACTAGTTGAAGTGTTCCTGTCCAGGCCCAGTCCCTCATTACCCAGGTGTCATCACTCGAGGGGAATGCCGAAGGTGAGGATGAAGCAGGGGTGACTGTGACCTGTACCGAGGAAGCAAGGACAGTGCTCCTGGCTTGTGAGCTTGTGTCTAAGTTGGATGGGTTTCTCTGGGAGAAATTTTGGCAGGAGGATTATGTGGCTAAGAAAATAGTTATCTGTAAATTCTTCAAAGAATGGTAATGTATGTATTTGAAGCTCTGAATTAAAATGGTTGAGTAGATAGCACAGGCAGAAGAGTAAATAAAAACATTAGAGGAAAAAAAGAAACTAACATAATTATTGGTCCAATGTGTTTCTAAATCTAGTTTATGTATTTCTTCTCAAACTCCAGTTCTTCTCAAACTTCCTGTAATAGAAGACAGGAGAGAGAAATATTGGAAAGAACTGATTTTTAAATGCAAAAGGAAGGAAATGAAGGTTAAAGTAAGACATAAAGAATAAAGGCCTCTAAAGCTGAGTAAGGGCTAACTAAAGAGAAAAAACAAAATACTTCTCTATTCTCCTGAAATACTTGTTATAGCAATTAAGACAGTCAGAGGTCAATGGCCTTTCTTATTTGAGCAATGAGAAAAGTAACAGTTTTTCCCCAATCTTTAGCTACCTTTTAAAAATACTCAAGGTAACCTGACTGGGTTTGTGAAACCTGAGGAAGGATCTAGGTTTAAAATTTTCCATGACAATTTGTTTTCATCTGTCTACTTTTGCACTGCCGTAAGGAGTAAAAATGTATTTCTGGATGCCCTTTTTTTCTCCCTGCGAGGCTCGGGTTCACCACGATGAGTCTTCTGTAAGACAGGTGTGTTGGGAACAGTGTATGGACAATGCAAACACCACTTACCAGGGACTCGCTGGCACACTGGAACACATAGCAAATGTACTGGCTCAGCCCCGGCTCTGGGGACTCCCGACAGATGAAACCAAAGTGATCAACGTGCTTTATGCCCTGGATAAGAGGGAAGAAGAGCAACACAGCATTCATGGGAATACGTTCTTTCAACAGCACAGAGAATCAACATGGAGTCCACACTTTCCCAGTTCCACCTATTTCTTCTTCACAGCAACGTGGCAGGGAACATAATATCATAGCAAACTTACAGCATGGCCTGTTGGGATGTAAGATAAAGAGTGGGACCAACTCCCATTGTTTTGTTTCTGATGAAAACCCTGTGACTCTGGACCACAGGAGAAAAAATACTGATGGCATGTTCTGCTGGGTCTTGTAATACAACCACTACTACATGTTTGTAAGAAATAGAGCTTTCAATTTATTGTGTTCTTAGAACACCAGCCAGATAATTTATCACAAATCCTGTTCTTGTCTGCAGGAAGCTAAGAATCTGAGACAAATTACAGTTGATAACACAAATAACATGGAATCCATCAAATAACATGGAATTTCCTAAAGTTGCATAAAACACCAAATTACCTGTCTGTTCCATTTATAGACACTTTTAAAAGCCACGTTACTAAAAGAATGATATTTTAAAAATATGACTGCAAGTGGCAATTGCCCACCTTCGCAAATAATTGTACCTGGATTCAGGCTAAATAACTTCATCTATATTTAATAAAAAATTCACTATCACTTGTGACTTTTAGTCTCAATACATATAAACCAATAAATAGACAACAATGTATTGTATTATTGTAATTACAATGTATTATTGTAACAGTCAGCACAGTGTGTACTTTGAAAACTCAGGTAAGCAAAAAAAATTTTAATACCCAAAATTCCAGTGAAAAGAAACTTTCAAATCACATTTGTGCTTAAATCTTGGTTTAAAAAAATCTGCCGGTATGATAAACTGTGCTACACTGCTAATAATTATCTTTCAGGCTCCACTTCTCATTACAAAATAGTAGTAATGGTCCTGTTATCAAGGATATAAGATTTTAGACTAACAAATATCTGTATGAAAGTTCCCGGAATGTTTAATAAATGGTAACCACTCATCTTATCCTAACAATCTCGATCTATGCAGTGGATACGGAAAAAGGAAATCAACTTGAGAGAAAGAAGTCAGTAAGGAGGAGTAAGTCTGCAGCTCAGAAACTGAAAATAAGCTCCATCTGGTACAACTCATTAGTGACTAAAGAATGCATTTCACTAGTTTAGTACCAAATGGGAAAATTCAGATGACTTCATCAGCTCGGAGTGGCTTCCAGGTAGTAGCAATATTTCCAGGAAAGAACGCCACTCCCTGCTCTCCACTCTTGCCAGGAAAGCAGCGTACTGGTTTGAAGAAAGAAACATCTGTAGTTGTACAGTATTCTAAGCAGGCCTGGTCCTGAATACAGCCACTCCCACACGGTGCAGCAGCCCAGTTCTGTGCCAAGAAAGAACAGGAGCAGAGCCACTGAAGAAGAGAGGTGCCCCAAGCTCACTAGACTGGTGATCTGCTGGGAGGCCTTTCCACCACTTTCCTTTGTTCTGTCGTTTAATTTCTGAATCACAACACCAAAACATAAAAGTGTGTCTTTAATAAAAATTAAAAAGAAAAGCAAAAGTTCTATTTGAGCTTCCAGTTTTATAGTTGTTTGGGCTGTATCTCCCCCCACCCCAACACACACACACACACACTTTTGGAGTTCAGTGAGCATTGTTTGTTTTCTTACTGGGAGGCATGGGGAATGTGAGGTACTGCATTTTAAGGATTTCTCTGGTGCTCTGGAGGGGCAGGAATTCTATCGCATTTATGTATCACTTTCTCATCAGTACATGGCACAAGGCCCCATACGCAGAATGGACCCATTCACTGGACATTCACTGAGCACCTAAGGGTTAGGTTCCACGTCCACACAGCCGGTTCTCATGCACTAAGAGTAACAGAACTTAGTCTTGCAGGGACCCTCAGTAAACATGTACTGATAAGAATATTATATACTTTTGCAGCTAAAGCAAATAATCTTTCTACCAAACTTGTATCCTTGAAGTGGGATTTTAGAGACTTACAATATATTCTTCCAGTGATCAGATGCCAATTACCAGAGAATGCTAGAATATACTACATAATTTTGTCCCTATGTAATTGAAATAAAATATCAAAACAAAATACTGGAAGTGCAAATCTATTAGCAGAGATTGAGTTAAATTCAGACAAGATATACAAAAGGTCTCATCATCTTTGAAGAGAAAAATATCTAAATATTACAACTACTGCAATGCTAACGCCAAAAATCTGAGAGGAAAAAGAAAAGGAGAAGGAAAGGGAGGGGAATGAAGAGACGGGAAAGAAAGGAAAGAGGAAAGGAGAGCAGAGCAGAGGAGAGGAGAAGAGAGAAGAGGGGAGAGGAAAGGAGGATGGTTAATAAGCAGTCATGATTTTTCAACATTAAAATATAGGTAGAGACTCTGGCAAGATCCAGTCCCTTCAAAGGACATTGAGTCACTAGGCCAAATCTCAGTTCCAGGGACTTCCTCAAAGGCATCTTTGAAAACATAACACTTCCGAATCTGGATTTAGATACTTCCTCTATTCTGGTTACTTCAAAATTTCTTGCTTTGTTTACAATATATTTAGTTAACTCTAACGTTAGGGTAGACACTGTAAAATATCACAATGGTCCTCAGATACTAGATTATACTAAACATTATTCTCCTACATATTCAGTATACCACTTAGTTTTAAAATACTTAAACACGTAATTTGTGAATTAAAAGAACAAAAATATCCAAACATTGTTTTCAGAACTCGATATGTACACTAATACAGGTTCAGAAACGAGTTCCCCTTTTACTAACTGTTCCACATGAAGAGCAAACATGACTTAGCTATGCCTACAAGGCCCAAGACGCTGAGGAACACTGACGGTGTGGTATTTTCAAAACAATTCCCTACCACAAAAATTCCATCAGTGGAAGGAACCTGAAGTGTCTTTACAAGGGGAAAGAACTGAGCAAACTGAAGACAAATGCTTAGAACACACGCTGAGGTTCTTGAATAGGACTGTGTTACTGTCATACACATGAACAAATTTTAATTTATAAACAAATTTTACTAAAAATAAAAGTCTAGAAAACGTTAAAATTTGAAGGAGTTTATGTCCCATTGTTTTGTGGTGAATTGTGGAACCCAGTTGTTTTGAAGTTAATTGGTCCTTTAATACTACAACATAACTTGATACATACCTGAGAACAAGAGGAGATATCTTTAAAATTCTTTTCTAGCACAACTGACTTAGTGTCTGGACTGATAAGGTTAATCTCAAATCGCCCAACCTTAAAAATAAAAGTATGTCAATTAATTTCAACTTATTAGGACCCAATATCTTTTTTATATCCTCAACTAATAATCTCATTTTATAATTAACATTCAGTAAATACTTACTATACTCTATAATACCCAACTAATAAAATACTCAACAAATAACTATAACTAAATACGAAAATGCTATACTTTAAATATATGTATTTCACATGCACTCCAACATCTAATCCAATAGAAAATTTTAACTCCAAATATCATTTATCTCAAAACATGTCTTGCCTTTGTTGAAAAATCACAAAACTTAAGATGGTCTTAAACTATAAGATACCAAAAAAAGAGACTTTTTGCAAAATAGAAATGATTTTTAAAAAGTAGGCAACTTATCCTTACCTCATGATTTTCAAAAATATCAATTATTCATACATGGTAACATTTTCTACCAAATGATCAATGAAATGACATACGTAATTGGGCTAAATTAAATTCTTTGCAATTAAACATCCAAATTCAGAAAAATTAACAGCAATGACTATAAGCCAAGAAACAGAAAAAAATCTGATAGCTGAAAGGAGAGGGAAAACTTCCCTAGAGAAAAGATCAGAGACACTATTAATCACTTGCTTAGTGTTTATCAAAAACAACAAAAAACATGGACTTCTAAAAAACCAAATATCACTGGGACTGTCTATCAAGATATTATACGCTGTGGAATTTCCTCCTCAGGGTTCTTTAAAACAGGATAAAAGGGCAGCTACTTGCTTTTTTGGAACAAACAAGCATTATAAGGTTGCGTATCCAGTTCTTTAAGTGGGACTTGAAGTATTACATACACTGTATGTCACTTTAAAAGATTATTTTTAGAATCAAGAATTATCTTTTACGTCCGTAATTGTATACTGTGCATCAAATTATTCAAAAATGACCCAGTAAATAAGGCCAGAGGTGTCCCCTTTGCCTTCCTTCTTATGGACCACGGTACACTGGTGTGTTCTCATCTGAAGTACATCTATGTAAATTCTCTAGAATTTTCCTTTTTCTCTTAAAAAAATCTGTTTTCTCCGGGCTAAATCACACTCTTCTAGATTCATATCCCTACATTCTTTCTGCGAATGGCTTACTACAGTTATTTTTTAAGTTATTATTCCAGTGTCAGCTCAGGGTAGATGATGCCAGACGTCTGACATCAGACACCAGCAGCACCATCACACCCTTAGTCACACACATACTGGGTCACCTATTCCTACAGCTCCCATCGACTTTGTATGAAGCTCCCGCTGCCCCCTCCCCATGGGCTCGGAGGGGACACAGGAAGCTGGATCTGGGTGAGGCTGCCCTCCGGCTGGGGGCAGCAGGACGCGCAGGAGGCCGGCGGGAGCGCCGCCCGGGCGCACCTGGAAGAGCATGGTTCTGTTCTGCTCGGCGTCCGACGGCTGCACGTGACTCGGGGCGCTGGCGTGTCTGCGGCGCGCCTGAGGCTTCTGGCTGCCGTCGTGCACCCTCCTCTGCAGGGCCCCGGCCACGCTGCTGCACCGGGACCGGAACCTCTGCTGCTCGGCACCGCCGCAGTCCTCCACGATGCGCTCGGGCACGCACACGCGGGCGCCGGCGGGCCCCGGCTGGCCGGGCAGGCCCTGCGGGGCAGGGCGGCCGTCCTCCGCCCCCTCCCCGTCCTCTTCCTCCTCCTCGGGCAGGCTGTCCCCCGGGGACCCCAGCGCCTCGCCCTCCGGGACCAGCTCCTCGCCGCCGGGGTCCGAGGCCCGCTCGCCCTGCAGCCGCAGGCGCTGCTGTTCGTGCAGGCTGAACTTCTCGATGCAGTCGTCGATGAGGCTGGACGGCGCCTTCTTGTGGGTCACCGTCACCTTTCCGCAGTACAAGACTTCGAACTTCTGAGAGTTGTAAAAGGCGTCCTCGTTGTCTTTGCTGGGTTTGGCATCCTCTTTCATGGCGGCTTTGGATAATTGCCTTATGCTACTGATGACATCGGGAACCTGGGGGAAAACAGAATATCCAGTTTCAGTAGAGCATTTTGAGATAATTTATGTGTGTCAGCACCTGTTATTAGCACAAGGAATGAGTTTTATCCTAAATCATAGAATACAAGGAGCAGTAAATCCCACACAAGACTATAAATTTAAATTTCACATGACATAAACGACTTCAAGGTAAAACTTCACTGTAACAAAATTTATTAAAATTGAAATTTAATAGAAGTATTGTACTTTCAAATTCTGTATGTATTAGCTTCACAAAAAAAGTCATGAGACGATCAAGGTCACTCTCAACTTTATAAGAATACATCTTTTAATTATTTTTAAGTTTTTAGGCTCCTTTCAACTGAAAGGAACCAAATTTTCAACAATAAAGGCAAAATTAACTTTCTAGATAAAGACATTAAAACCAGGACCCTATCATCAGCATTAGTAACAGACCTGAACCACACAATCAGGTATCACTACGTAGATGCGAGAATGGCTGACATCAAATCAACAACAGACCAGCAAGGTAGAGCACCCAGAACTCTCTTAGGTGAGTGCAGAAATGTAAATGATACACCACAGTAGAAAGACACATGATAGCATTTTAAGCTTTAAGCATAGACCTGAGTTGTATAAAAGAAATAAAGACAGGTAGAAAGGAAACAAGGAAGCCCCATTTTTATCTTTCTTATTACCTTAAGACTCTAGGTCAAATCCCTCAACTCTGCTCTCAGAAATTGTTAAATCATTTAGGAAAAACTGGCCAAGTGAGGTTCCTTAAACCTAAATTTACTTAGCCTATCTAATTCCACTTCAGAGGGAGGTTACCAACATGAAAGTAACTAAAGCAGTTTTCAGGATTTACAGGGATGTCTCATTACCAGCATTTACAGATTCCCTACAGCAAGGCTTACTTACAGGCCCCCAGTCATAGCCCTAAACCTGTAAGCACCTAGGTTATAGGAAAGGCAAAACCTCAGAGAACACTGCATGATGAGATCACCCTCAGAGCAAGGACAACTGTCTTGAGAGCCCTACTGTCCCCTCCAAGCACAAGCATTCCCTGGAGCTTCGAAACCAGCACTGAGATAAGACCCTAATTTACCTCAGCTAATCCAAAAAAGCTGGCCTCTTGCTTTTGTGCAGCCTATCAGAACCTTTCATCAGAGTGCGCCCCCTCCAGTGACTCTGGAGTCTTTTTTCCTATTCTCTCTTACTTCCTAACTCTACATAATAAACCTACCAATATGTCACACTGACAAATCCTTTATCTGTGATGTAAGTCAGAAGCCTTTTGGCAAACATAACTAAGGTCACCGTCATCTACCTTTACAGAACCTCCTCAGACAGGGTCCAGTGACAGAACTTCCTCATGACCCAGCCAAAAGACTAGAAAACGCTACCACAGAAGAGATCATATGCAAAATATCACAGCAGCTTTGATCACAAAGCCAAGACACTGGAAAGAATCCAAATGCCCATTAACAAGTGGACAGGGGAAAAAATGACACACATATACACTGGGATACCATTTACCATCTCTCACCTGGTTTACTCGCAGCCTTTTAACTGGTTTCCCATCCTCTTCAACCTACTCTCAGAAGCCAAAATGATCTTCCTTAAACTCCCAGCATGATACTGTAGGGAACTAAAAAAATACCATCCTAAAGTACACCACTGTTGGGTACAGATTACTTTTGAGTTAAAGGCACTTGACTAACAGTAGATGCAAGAAGGGCACTCTGACCTTCCTTTGCTTCCTAAAAGCAAGACAACTCCCCAGTGAAAGATGTCCTTCCAGAACCACAAGGAAGTCGTGCTTATCACCAAACATGGGAATCAATGCCAAGAGAAAACTAACAAACCAACTATGTTAGACTAGCCATACCTTCCCAGGTACTTTTCCACAATTATCTGCCTTAGTCCAAATGCTTGATCTTGTCATGTTTTCCTAATCTACTACTCTTTGTCTAACCTAACTCCTTTTTGGACTTTTGTTTTTCTTGTGAGGGAGCCCACGTACCCATAAAAATTACCCATAAAAAACTGAATACCTTTCACCCTGATTCTATTTCATGTTAGTCACTCCTGGAAACCCCAGGAGATTATAGCAGAAATTTTACACCACACCCCCACACATATATTACTCAAATGGAAACCGTCCAATAGCTCTCTATTTTATGAAGAGTAAGAGACAAGATCTTCACAGTGTCCCAGAGGGCCCTTATCAACCACAGATGCTATGCACAGATTAAATCTGCACTGTGGCTACACATCTTCCCTATGACTTTAGATGGGCAACCCGGACTCACCTCATCCCTTCTGCCCTAAATCTCCTTCTACATTCCTTCCCTGCCCACCCCACTCCAGCACACTGGCCTCCTTGCAAGTCCTTTATCCTACTTGAAGGTCTCTAAGCGGCAGGCTTCTGCCCTAGATATCCACCATATGGGCTCACTCCTTCACCTCAATGAAAGCCATGTCACCTTATGAGACAGCGCCCCCAGGTGTCTCCCAGGCCAGTGCACTTGCATATACACACAGCCACCATCCTTGTGGATTTTTTCCCTGCTTTTTGTTCCCTACAGTGCTTAACACTTTTAACATTCTGTACAGTTTATATATTATGTAAAGTAAAATACATATGTAGAGCACACTGGTATGCCTATAATGCCAGCAACAAGGGAAGCTGAGAAAAAGGACCACAAGTCTGGATCCCACCTTAGCAATTTAGGTAAACTGTCTCAAAGTAAAAATTAAAAAGGGCTGGACATGTGGACCACTGGTGAAGTGCTTGAGGGCTCAATCCTCAGTACTGAAAAAATAAAATATATGTTTTAAGTGGATGGTGATTTCTGTTCCTTTTTTTCCATTATTTTTATCTATTGTATCCCCAGGATCAAGAATAATTCCCAGTACATAATAGGTTTCAATATTTGTATTAATCCCAAAAATATTTTCATTAATTTTTAATCTTTAGCAGTAAAGGAAGCCCATCATATACTCAGGGCTGCTGCTTCATTTTCAGACATATGTGTGGTAGGTCTTTAAATCTCCTAGTGCCAATTTTAAAACCACAATTTCATCTCTTTCACTTAATTATTTAAGATACACTATTAAAGCATTAACAGCTTTAAAATCACATGTTGCCAGAGTTATTTCCAGTGAAAGGAAAAAGTCCTCACACTATAGTTTCAGTGAGCCACCTTGAACACCTGACATGTTTCAAGGAGAGTCTAGTGTCAGCGGTAACTTTTGACTGGCAATCTGTCGTTTTCTTCTTGCCTTAGTGTGTGATTCACTCTACCTGGTGAGACCAAATCTAGCAAAGTAGCTAACACTAAAACCTGTAAAAAGTTAAACAATTCTAGTTGGTTAAGCAAAGTCATAAAATAATAATCTATTCCTCCTCACTAATCCTATTCCATTAAATAATGATCATTTGCTTACTAACCCAAGTACTCCTAAACCTCCAAAGTATCTCTATAGAGTACAGAATCATAAATATTATCTGTGGACTCTTTTAACTTGTAGATTGTTTTTTAGTTCGCTAAACTATTTCATCTATTTGAGTATAGCCTTCAAGTTATCGTCTACAAGTGAAACTGCAAATAATGCCAGTGCAACCTCATTTGTGTCAAGTCTCCTACCTGCCCTTGTTTTTCTCTCCAGTTATATAGAGACCTCTTAAGTGAAAATCTGATTAGTAACTGAATTTCTGTATTCATCCAGGACTCCTCCCTGTGACCATTGGAAAAGGCTCAACAACTAAGTGTAATTCAGAAAATGACCCAATTTCGATAAGCAAAGTTTATCATCTTGAGTTCTGAACTGTGCAGATAATTTAATCTTCCAATAATTTGAGGTGTTTGTAGCATAAAACAGATTCTAGTTAGCTTCCAACTCCTCCTTCAGGTCTGACTAACCACAACTTTCACTTACGTGAGCTGTAGATGCTAAGCACAAAATTGATCTAACATTTAGGTCTGTTTTGGCAGATCCTTATGTGAAAGACACAGTATTAAAATGTAACATTATACACCCAGACTACATACCCATCAGAAGGGACACACTGGTAACAGAAGGATAGAAAAATATCCATAGCAAAGGCATAAATTATCAGAGAACCTTGCAAATCTTTTATTGAGGCATTTACTTAAAGGATGTATCAGAAGCAACACAACAGAAACACAATCTCCATCCACTACTCGCTTACATGCAGTATTTTGGAATAGCATTCTCCTATAGTATAGGGTTAATAGTTGTATTTTCAACTATACTAAGCTATCTGTACTATACTATACATCTCTTTTTCATGTACCATTACATTGTCAGCAAAGTGAAATGGAGTTGAGGTGATTTTGTCTCCCGCCACAGCTCTTCCACATCACTACTAGAAAAACAGCTCAGAAAAAATTGAATGGATGCCATCGGCAAACATGGGAAGACATATAGTAATAAACAACTACCTAGAATGTTCTGACAAACTGCAACAGGTTTAGTAAATTCCTGTTGATAATTCAAGACAGCCCACACCCTAAAATGGAAAGTCATGGTTTACAACCTGCTCACTGCTCAGCCCAAGTAGGAAGTAATTGTGTTTGCAGAATGCCACCAAATGCCACAGAGCATCTCAAGGGTGCTGTGTCCTCTGCTATGTATTCTTGCTATTCATAGTCAGGCTATGAATAACGCCATTGCTCGGACTCTGCCTGCAACCCAGAGTCTGACGCAGATTTCCACCAATTTAAGGTAAACTTTTAACTCCGCGGCACCATTTAATCTTTAACCCAAAAAACAACACACTGAAAAAGACTCCACCAAACTAATTAAGAAGTTTATATTCTATTTCTAGCTCTGTTAATAATTTTCTCAGTACCTTTGGGAAGAAGTGTTCACCACTGTTGAATACGATTTTTTTCAAAGGCAAAATGAGGAGGGGACTAGACAGATGGTCAAAAGGGTCTCATGTAGTTCGCACTTTCATGACGTTAATTTTTGGGTCAATGTCA